CTATGGTTCACCAGGGTTACCTACTAAAAATAAAAATAAAAATTTCAATTAGTTCTACAAGATGTACAAATAAAGTCCCGCAAAGAACTTACAATCTAAAATTACAATATTATAAAAATAGAATTATGCACCAAACAGCAACATGAGAACTTAAGAACTTCACATAACTAAATACTGGTTTTATTAATTTAATTATTACTAATAATTTGGTGATCAAGGATATTGAAAAATTCAAACCAGAAGAAAAGTTAATAAAAAATGAGCAGAATGTGAAAGATGGATTTCGACCCTACCTTACTCCCTATGCAAATTAAATTTCAGATATTTTCTAAGATAAATGTGAAGAGCAAACTTTAAAAAGAAAGCATAGGGGCCGGGGAGATGGCTCAGTGGAATAAGCACTTCCCTGGCAAGCGCAAGGGCCTGAGTTCAATCCCTGGTTCCTCCAAAAAAAAAGAAAGCACAGCCTGGCAAGCTCAAGGGCCTGAGTTCAATCCCTGGTTCCGCCAAAAATAAAAAATAAAAAAAAAGAAAGCATGACATTACCATGGGGGATTTTTTTTTAAATCAGGATACAAAAATCATACACCATAAAGGACAACACTAATAAATTGAACCTTTATTAAAATCCCATAGAAAATGCCCATCAACCCAGGAATGGATAAAAAAGACATGGCATCTTTGTGCATGGAGTATTATTCAGCTACAAAATCATAAATTCAAGGCTTTTGCAGGTAAATGGATGCAACTGGAGACCATACTCATAAGTGAAATAAGTCAGACTTGCATGTGCAAACATATGTTAGATCAATTTTGCATACTTAATCTGGTAATCAGAGCAACTACTTTGAAGATAATAATATGCAATATAATAGCCATTGCTAATTTCCTATGATCTTGTTGTGAAATTCTGTATCCTTTTATTATTATTTTTATTCTCTTAAAAAAATTTCTATGGGAAAAAGATACCATAAACAAAGATGGAAGAAAATAGAATTGAGGGAAGAAGATACTGGCACAGGCTACAAGAATAAATCTCATAAGTGAACAGGAATGACACAGTCAATCTTATTGGCAAAGGATATGAACACGCCACAGAGGAAGTGGGACTTATGACAAACACATGAACAATGCCCCCACCCAACATAATCAGAGGCTTGCAAACAAAGCAAAGATTGAGAAAGCTGTGGGAAAACAGGACCGTGTATGCCTCGTGTGTTGTGGCATACGTTGAAACCACAACAATGGAGAGAAATTTGATGGCATTTAGTAAAAATCAAGACGCTTACACAGTCTTTGTAACCTGCCTGCAAGGAGACACAACCACTATTACACCCCTGCTGTGACAATCAAAAATTAAGAAAAGTTTAATGTCCACCAAGGAGCAATAAATGTACATAAAACAGTAGAATGAGTTATTTACGTACAAAAACCCTAAGGTCGACACACATCTGCTTCAAGGTAAAGATTACCTTAGAAAAGAAGAAATAAGAGTGAGGTTTTCATTGCCTCTAAATAATTGTGTTTCTTAAAGAACCATTTGAAGCTAATTTCTGCTATATGTTGAAGTAACAAGCTGTGCAACTTCAATAATGATACGCAGGGATTTGTTAGATTATTGTTTGTAATAGAAAATAAGTTTAGAAAAGAAATGCATCTTGGCAGTAATTGTTCTAAACACTGCCTAAAATTATCCACTAGGCTTTAAACACCCTTCAAGTGGGCTCATTGACTTAATAAATATTTACTTATTGTCTACCCCACAGTGAGTGCTACAGGAGGCTCATACGAAACAATCGAACCCTGCCTTTGGGTCCTTCTGGGTGTGATTGATAAGTTCCAGATTAGTGCTGCCTTATGATCAGGGCTGAGCTATATGAGGCGACTTTAAAGGGCCTTCCCAAGTGCACTTTGTCCTAACATAAGGCCAGATGAATATAGTATGATAATAATACCAAACAGAGGCTCCAGAATTCTAGACATAGCTCTATGACTCTATGTGCATGTATTTTTATCCTAACCACACACCCATGAGACTATTACTGTTATTCCTGTCTTACGGATTAAGAAATTGAGGCACTGCTATTGTTCGGTTTTCGTTGCTTTTTTTTTTTTTTTCAGTACTAGGCGTTGAACGCAGGACCTTGCACTTGCCAGGCAGGTGCTTATGCTGCTGAGCTATCTCCCCATCTCTACTGTTTGAATCTGTTCCCCCCCAAAGGTATGTGTCAGAAGCTTGATGTCTAAGCCAACAGTGATAATAGGTCAGGCCAGACACAGAATATTTAAAGAATTTAATCCAACTCACTGGCAGAGCCAAAACAAAACACAACACTCTTAAATTCTCTCAGGTCTGTTTGTCCTTGTGCAGTTATAGCTGGACAGTTAACTTCAAGGACAAAAAATTCTCTGGGTGTGCCTAAGGACATTTGTTTTATGATGTCCCATAAGTATAAGATGCTGGATCTGGGCAGGACCCTGCAGGTCACCTGGCACAGCACCATGGTAACACGTGAGCTCCACGAGGGCAAGGGCATATCAGAGCTCCTGCCCCTGAAACGGTGTCTGATACATAGATGGAGCTCAGTAAATGTGTGCTGGCAAAAAATTAAAAAAAGAAAAAAGTTTTTCTTTAAAAAGCCCAATATCAAAGAGGTCAAAGAAGAGATATGCTGCTTAGAGTTTTGAAGTAGAGCTGGGGCCCAGAGCTCTGAGCTACGGAGCCAGCTAGAATCCATCCACAGCTGAAGACTGCTCACGAATCCAGATCCCTGTAATGCAGAGCTAATGAAGAACTGAGCTGACTCTTCTGATTTTGAGTCCTAGAGATTTTGAGTCTCAGGTCACTGTTTCACAAATTTTGCAAAGATATTTCTAAGAAAAGGCAATGACTTAGAAAATACCTGGCCATGTAATGAAAGCTACCGAAATACAACTTTAATGTATGTGTGATAAGCTAAACAAAGATTTTCTGTCCCATAAATTAAGAACTAGCTATTTAATTGTCAACTGCCACATCCCCTGGAATGCTGTTAAATTAGAAGAATGGTTGTCTGTTGGTTTAGAAATGCTACTAAGATCCATTTCATTGATTGCTTTAGACTTGGTCTTGAGGTGGAATGAAGATTTTCTTCTTTTGGGGCCATCCCTTAGCCTTTCTGTGCATCCTCCAAGAATCACCTCCCCCACCTACTTTGCCAGGATAAAAATGTTACAGCAAACAGCAAGCTACCACTTGGAAGAAACCTGTGCAAGCTGTGTGACTTTACTTGGGTAAAAGACAGTAAAGACAGCGGAGACGCCCATCCAATTATCTCCTTCTGGAGGTACACTCCCTGTTCTTTTAGAAGCATATTAATCATTTTTATGCTGTCCTGACTCCTGATCACAGGCGTTTCCAGTGTTGTCAAAACAGTGCCTGCCTATCTCTGCTTTCTATGTCTGGCCTGAGTTCCAGGGAGTGTTTGTGAGAGAGGCAAGAACAAGAGACTGACAGCCTTGTGTTGACATTGTGTGGCTGTTTGGAAATGAGAACGATTCATGCCTGATGTTGTAATTCCTCCTTTTATAGGCAAAAAGTAATGTCTCGGCATGAATGAGCGGAGCTGAACACATTCGGGCACACCCCAGGCAGACACGGGGTGTACTCCCAGAACACTCGCTGTGCTTTCTTTGTTGCTATTGTAGGGCAAGAGGCAGAAAAGGTTTGTTTGATTCCCTAAGTCTCCCTTTGCTAATACATGGTATAAAACATCAGCCTTGAAGAGAAAACATACATTTTCATCTTTCCAACCATAATCCTAATCACAGCTCCTCATACGATGATTTTTAAAATTACATGAGTAATAAAAAGTAAGACTTCTCTTTGCCTGCTCCCTTAATTACACATGGTTCCTTTTTGAGTGTACTTATTATTCATCCAAGTATCCTTATTTTGCATCTCCTGTGTATCCTTCCAGATTTTTCCTAAGCACACACACACACACACACACACACACACACACACACATGCACAAGTACATATATGTATTTTCATATGTAGAAAAGGATATATTTGTTTGGCAGGAGCTTTCGTTTAATATTTACATTGTGCCATACTGTACATATTGTAACTACAGCTAGCTTTTCTCATTTAATGAGTACATGTTGGACATATTTTTTCATGTCAGTACCTATTATTTCTCTCATTTGTTTTGAAGGAAAGGATAGCCTTTGACAGAATGAATATATAGTAATGTATTTAACTATTTCCCTAAAGGAGGAAATTTGGGTTATTTGCAGTTTTTCACTTCTTAGAAATATTGTTGTGATAAAAATCATTGTACATGTGTTTTTAAATCTATAGCTTCAAGAGGTATACTGCTTATTTAAGGAAACTGTAAAAACTATTTAGCTGGCTTAGCTTGTCCTATCATAACAAGCTAACATAGGCAGCATGGGGTAACTAACAAACATTTATTTCTCTTGATTCTAAAGGTCAGGAAGGCCAAGATCAAGTGGCTGACGGGTTCATTTCTGGTAAGGACCCTATTTCTAACTTGAAGACAACTTGAAGCTTTATCCTTTGTCTTCCTATAGTGGAGTGACAGAGCACTCTGGCTTTTCTTCCTCTTTTTTTTTAACATTTATGTATGTATTACATATGTATGTATACATGTATATATTTTGGTACAGTCTCCCTATGCAGCGCAGACTCATAGTGATCCTCCTGTCTCAGCCTCACCAGTACCATCACTCCCATTTTGGGGGCCAGCACTGTGCACCCAGGGTTCCAGGGCTGTACCACATGCAGTAGCAGGGATTGAACTTGGGTCCTTGAGCTTGCCAGGCAGGCACTTAGACCCCTGAGCTATCGTCCCAGTTCTCTTGCTCTTCTTATAAGGACACTAATGCCATCATTGGATCTTCACTGTTACAACTTCATCTAAACTAAATTGCATCCCCAACGACTTCACCTAAAATACCATCACACTGTAGGTTGGAGCTTCAACATAGGAATTTTGGGGAGACATAAACTTTCAAATTATAACATTCTACACCTAGTATTTCTTCCCAGCTCATGTCTTTCTCATATACAAAACACATTCACCATTCCAATTGCTTCAAAAGTTTTAATTTGGGGCTAGAGAGATAATTCAGCAGTCTAAGCACCTGCCTGGCAAGCCCAAGGACCCGGATTCAATACCTGGTACCACATGCCATGCTGGTCCCCTGAACCCCAGTTATACTGTGTCAGCCACCAAAACTGGTGCACGCCTGTGATCCCAGCACTAGAGAGACTGAGACAGGAGGATCACTATGAGTCTGAGCTGCACAGCGAGACCCTGTTCAAAATACATGAAACAAAAAGTGATCGAACTTTAAAAAGAAATAGATAAATCCACAGTTATAGTTAGAGTCTTTAGTATTTCTTCCTCAGTAATCAATAAATTGATAAAGAGGAAATTAGTAAGGATGGGGGTGACGTAATTACTGTCAACTAACTTAACCTGTTGACATTTACAGAATATCTCACTCAAGAACAGCTGTACCTCAAAAAAAAAAAAAATTCAAAAAAAGAGAGAAATCTTCAAGGTATGTTTTCTGAGCACAACAGAGTTAAAGAAGAAATCAGTACCAGAAAAAAATTGAAATCCCCCAATACTTGGGATATTAAATGTATTCTAAATAACCAGAGTCCAGTAGAACACAGGGAAGTTGAAAAACACCCTAAATTGAAAATGAAAACATAATGGTTACAATGTGCAGGATGCAGCCGAAACAGTAACTGAAAAGAAACTTGTAAGTTAAATGCTTATACTAGAAAGGTTGCCGGGAACCTCCCAGTACTGAAAAGAGCACCAGAGAAACAACAGAGGTGGCGTCAATGGCTAGACCCGTGCTCACACCCCTCCCCGGTAGTCTTCCAGGTCCCCATTGTACCAGTTGCTAGCCAGTGACCGCCAAGAGCTGCCTGGAACCCTCTACGGCTCTCAGCACTCCTGTCACTGCTACCTATACCTAAATTGGCCTCCACACTCATCTCGGCTTCTTAACATCATTGTCCCCTCATTGCAGGGCAGAGCTGGCAGATCTGACTGGCAAAGCCCAGGTCAAGGGCGTCTATCACAGCTGTGGAAGTAAATGGAAGAGTGAATGGCTTGCCAGCCTAGTGGCACATGCCTGTAATCCCAGTACTCGGGAAGATGAGGCGGGTGAGTTCAAGACCAGCCTGCGCTACAAAGTGAGCTAAATGGGGCCATAGTGCAGGGGTGCAGCATTGGACTGCCAAGTGAGCTCAACTTCAGCCTGAACTGCATAGTGAGACACTGTCTCAAAAACACACAAAGAAAGAAAGA